ATATAATAAATAATTTTGACTATTTCTCATTCTAAACCTATCGAATATCTTTTTTTTTAAATGCAAGGTAATCTTTTATAGAACCTACATGATTAACTTTTCTTCTAATAATAAAAAAAAAACCTCTAAATAAAAACTATTATTCCTACAAATATTAGAGTAGTCTCCCTTGACAGTTTCTATTCGAATGTATTTTGTGTTATTTTTCATTATGAAATACAGTTGACTTTTTAAATAAATTATATAAGAAAACAATCTATCTCTGTGTATATTTATTTAAAAAAAATATTATTACAATAATTAGAATAGGTGTTACTGGTTAAATAGCAATTATTCTCATTCTAAATCTTTGGCTACCGAGTTTCATGGGTTTTTAAATTTAAGATTATGAACACATTGGCTTGACGAAAATGATTATATACATTTAAATACATACTAAAATTTACTTTTGTTAATAAACCTACACTATTTTATGCACACATACAAAAAAGAATATTTTAGCGGCAGTTTAACGTCAAAAAAAAAAAAAGGAAACTCCTTTATACTGAATAGTTCTACGTAACAACAAAAATGTAAAAATACATAGTCCTAGAGCACACTAACACATACATATATACATACGAAGATATGTGTGTGTGTAAGAAGGATCTGAGGTAGGTAGACAGGCGGGGTGGAAGGAAAGCAGTTTGGCAGGAATAACGGTAGGTAGGAAAGTAGGTAGGCAGGCAGCAGCGCAGGCAGGTTAGTAGATAGGTAGGTACGTAGGCAGGGAGTTAGGTATGTAGGTAGGTGGGCGTAGGTAGGAAGGCGCCTCACTCGGTATAGTGAGCGATTATAGTAGCCCATCATATTCATAGCGTTTCGCAATTATTAAAACGAACAAAGGTACCATAGTACTCACGGGAAAACCCGGGGAGCTAAATGGAACCCTGCCAGGGCGCCACCAAATCGAATTTTTTTCGTAGAAACCACCACATTAACTTCTCAAATTTGAATGACAAACGAATGAAATCTTTGATAATGCTTAAACAAACAAACCCACATATTCGTTTTTGGGGCGCGGGTTTGTCCACACTGCCGCCTAGACGCACCAAGGCTCACTGTATGAAAGCCTTGAGTGTACGTTAATCAACCTCTGTAATAGTGAGGTAGAACACACATTGGCGACCGCCTATGTGTTAGAGACGCGTCCCTTGGCGCTCCAGGGAGCCACTGGTTATATTTCCGCAAGGGCGCCCCTAATTCGGTTTAATTATAAAATGTCGTGTGCCACCGTGTCCCTATTGTAGGGTGCTCTTTAAGGAGGCACTCTCTGTAGAGCCCGGGGCGCTCGCTGTCGCCAACTGCCAGGGCGCCGGCGGGCGCTCATTATTCTACTTAGTGAACATTTATAGTAGCCCATCTAAACCGTAGTGTCGCCCGAGATGGGTCTTGGCCGCTCTGGGCCACTCAACCGCCGGGGAGCTGGCGGATGAACCTGGTGTAGTTTTATCACTGAATCTCAGAGGCGTAGCACCATTCCTGGCGCCTGGGGACAAATTTTCAATTTGGCGCCCCCCCCCGTATTTTTTGAATATTTATAATGCAAAACTATAGCTAAAATGAGCTTTTAAATTTTTCCAACCATTTTGGCGCCCCTAGGGTTGGCGCCCGGGGACATATGTACCCCCCGCCCCCCTCGCTGCGCCTCTGCTGAATCTAGTATTACCTATGACCGCAATTGATGAGATAGCCCCTCTGGATTCCCCTCTGGATTCTGAGCTCATAATCGTATAATTAGAAAAATTGAACCCTCCCAGGGTGCCACACTTAAGAATTTTTTTCTTTCTCGAAACCCTTTTCACCAACTACCCAAAATTTTATGACTCTCGTACGAACAGTGTCAAATTGCATCTGGCTTTTATTTTTATGGAGAAAAATTGCATTGCTTCCTGTCAGAGACCCTAGATCGAATGGGGCGCCAAAAGGGGTAGACAATTTTTAAAAAAATCCTCATTCTTCAGTAAAATTTAAGAAAACAGATTTATACATGGCTGATATCCTCAATTATTTTATATAGGGGAGTGTATGTAGGGATGGGCGCCTTTTTGCCAGCGTTTGAATAGGGTTGGCACATAATTGATAGTTCGCCCCGGCTGCCGGAATAGGTTGCTACGCTTCTGCTTCCTGCTAGGGTGCCGCCCTGGCGAAATCTTTCCGGGGGGGGGGGGGGCGTGCGGACACTGTTAAAAGTATTTTTTTCTATATAAATTCCGTTTCGTTCGGGGGTGGGGGGGGGGGGGGTCGATAGACTTTCTTCGGGGGGTGGGGGGGGCTCTGCTTCCCCCCCCCCCCCCCTCCGAATAGATTCCTGGAAAAAAACTCTGTTCACAAAGTTTTATGGCGATCCGATGAAAAGATGTAGTAATTCATATAGGACAAACAGATAAACATACTTTCATTTCTATAAATATAAATAGATATATAGGGCCTACTTTAACTAGTGTCCGAATACCCGCACCCGGAAACTTAGTCACAATTTTCTTTGTTACATTTGAACCCTTTAGGTTAATCAATATTAACAAAATTAAACAAGATGCAACAAATACAGTTAACCAAGAAATTGAACAAATAAAATTCACGTTATCTTTTTATTGTTTTTAGATATAGAGTAGTAACAGACTACCTACAGGTCCTAACTCGCGACGAGGTACACATTTGTATTAAAACACACATCTAAGACATTTTCCATTTAGGTGGGTTTTGCAGTACAGTGGTTTCTTAAGTCGTGGACAAGTGATTGTGCTTATCTCTGTTGAGTAGCTATGTATTCTGTCCTATATTAGACACATTTGTAAATATCTGTCACAATATGGGCATAGAGATGATATAACGATAGCTTATCTTTGCGGACGACGCTAAACTTTGGCATCGACACCACGGCCTACAAGTTCAAATTCGGTCCTTCAGAAATGTTTGAAGTCTCTAGATTAAAACTACTTTTCTCTTTTATGTACCTACTGACCACATCACATGCATTTGTTCTGAAAGTCTAAAAACAGAGGCACAAATATATCGTCTAGACTTGTGAGGTCTACAGATTAGGTATTTTGGCAGTAATCTAAGCCCTTGCCTGTTCTGACTCAAAGCCTTATTCTTTCTCTATCGACGCCTTGCGTAACATGGGATTGGGTTTTTAAGGCGGCATAAAGCTTTATGTTGTTCCTTTTTGAGTACACTAGATTAAAAACTAACGTTTTCAGATGCCTAAAGATGTTTAACCACTAATTAATCAGAATAATGGGTCAAGATTTCAATTCTTGGTTTTGGGACACGTTAGTTGCCGGGGTTGAGCTAATGTCGATAGCATAAGGACTGTACCTTGATGCGGGCGTTTTATTTGTTGCCCATCGTAATAATTGAATGGTTGATGGGGCTTCTTCAAGGGTTTGATTTGCCGTAATGTTTATGATATCATGCATGTGCGGCTTTTCTAAGAAGAAAATGCGTTTAAACACTTTTTAGTTATGCTTTTTTTAAATAGGCCTATATTTTACGACATCATAATCGTAATGAACAATAAAATGAATTTAAACAACTTTAGAATACACCTGTTTCGGCTAACATGAATGTTATTCTTCAAACTAGTAATGTTAAACGTGTCTTTTTCGCATTTTCGACTTATAAGCAATACAGTAAATTCCGATAACGTCCATATGCATACAAGCAATGGCGTAGGCGAGGAGGGGTTTAATAGTGATTTAATAATGATACTTTCTTAACCCTCTACTGGACATCATGTTTGGTACCTTGCCCCCGGCAACTGGGTGGATTTGGATTACACCCAAGTTTTACTTCATAGTAAATGGCTTCAGTTTTAATTATTGGAGTTGGTAGCAACATTGACACAGTTGAAGGTATTCAGAACAAGGTGGCCAGGAGAAATCACATTAATTAGTATAAAATTTACCATTACTATCAATAGGCCCTACTTAATTGTTTAATGTTGCTGGATATTAAGCCTGGTAGGTATTTATATTTATTAATTTGTACAGAAACAAAAAAAGGATTCCCAAACAAAGTTTTATTTTTCAGAAATAAAGAAAATGATACAAATCAATAAAGAACAGTTTTCAAAAGAATTTGTATAAAAGTAATTATTATAAAATAAGAATATAGCATTGCATAGATAAAAATAAAATACTTGACACAAACAATATGAGGAATATTTTTTATCAGAGAAGAGAAAAATATATGATGTAGTTTGAAAATAATACTGTACAGAATGTAGCTTTTGCAGATTAAAATGAAAATTCTCATGCCTATATAATTTATTGAGTAAATGAAGCAAGACCCAAAACAATAGGCTAAATAATATGCATGGGACAGGCATTGAAATCTACAAATTGCATATAGTGAAGGTTACCCTATTTATTGGCTATATCCACAGTAAAGATTTATGGCTTTATTACCTGCTTGTAAAATTGTTAAGGAAAAAGTAAAGTATTGTTAACTTTTTATGGCAGACCAACTATGGGCTGTGTTCTGGGAACATGTCATCTGTAAGGGGCATTGTTCCTGGCACATGTCATTTTTTGTGTTCTCGGCACATGTTGCCATTTTGTGTGTTCTGGGAACATGTTGCCATTTTGTGTGTTCTGGGCACATAATGACATTTTGTGTGTTCTGGGAACATGTTGCCATTTTGTGAGTTCATGGAACATGTTGACATTATTTGGCTGTGTTCTGGGAACATGTTGCCATTTTGTGTGTTCTGGGAACATGTTGCCATTTTGTGTGTTCTGGGAACATGTTGCCATTTTGTGTGTTCTGGGAACATGTTGCCATTATGTGGCTGTGTTCTGGGAACATGTTGCCATTTTGTGTGTTCTGGGAACATGTTGCCATTTTGTGTGTTCTGGGAACATGTTGACATTATGTGGCTGTGTTCTGGGAACATGTTGACATTATGTGGCTGTGTTCTGGGAACATGTTGACATTATGTGGCTGTGTTCTGGGAACATGTTGACATTATGTGGCTGTGTTCTGGGAACATGTTGACATTATGTGGCTGTGTTCTGGGAACATGTTGACATTATGTGGCTGTGTTCTGGGAACATGTTTGTTTCATTTTTAAATATTATAATAAAACATTTTTAGAAATTCTATATTAGGAATTGTGTATATATATAAATTTATATATTTAATAAGACAATTGGATGAATTATAATAAACAGCAAAAATGATTCAAATAAGTTTAGAAGTATTTGGCTTGCTGTCCTAACCAGTGAACTGTATTGCGAGCTTGTTTCCCTAGTGATAACCCATGTTTTTTGTGCGACCCTTCCAATCAAGTATCCAGCTTTTTCTTGGCCTGTATCAAAATGCTGGTCAGACTTGCTTGACTTGTGTATCACAATATGATTTTGAATGTTTTTCTGTAAATGAAATAAAGGCAAAATATTTTGATACTTTCTTTTGTGGAACTTGCAAGAAAAATAAATTACAAATTTATATTACTATCTCTAATATTTCTTTACTATAACTAATTACTTTGAAAAGATAAATCACTGAACATGATGAATAACAAGAAACAAACATTATCAGCAAAGATTATAGATTTAAAATTGTGTTCATTCATATTGAAGATTAATGAAGTAGACTATCAATATTTACCCTCTTGATGGCTGATACTTTGATTTGATGTCTTTACTTTAAGCTTACACATCAGTCTCTGTGTGGTAAAATATGAAATAATATGCTTCAATAAAACTGTTTCAGTATATTAACTATATTAGATAAGTACATAGTTTTGAGCTCTATAACAATATGTGTTTCAATTATCATTCAAATATAATACCCTCTATGTTGTACACTCACTGATTTATTAGAATTAAAAAAAAAGGCAATAATTAATAAAATATTTTGGATTAAAATCCATTATATTTATTATAACATACAATGCTATCTCTTGCTATAATAATTACTTTAAAAAATGGGTTATGCCTATAGTACAGTTACCTGAGGATGAAACTAGGCACAGTGTATAGTCCACGGAGACTGATTAATATCCCTTGTAATTGAACATCAGTTGTAGTTATGAAATCTGGATGGCCAAACACACACTCATAGTCCTGAAAAGCAATTTACACATAGATTAGCAAGAATATCTCACAAATTATTAACTTAAAGCCAACCCCTATTTAGTGCAATCCATCAAAGTAGTAGCATTTTTGTTAAGTTGTAGAAATAATATAAAGTAATGTTTGTTCTGTGATTTACATACTTTTATAAAATAGCAATCAAATTATATATATATATATATATATATATATATATATATATATATATATATATATATATATATATATATATATATATATATATATATATATATATATATATATATATATATATATATATATATTCATTGTAAATTTTAGCTATGTCTTGCTATTAAATTTATTTGCTCGACTGATCTAAACTCACTTTATTTAAACATAATATAGTGGATAAGTATAGTGATTTTATTATTCAGCAATAAATAGCAGCCCTAAAAAAATTTAAATAGTAACGTTTGCGAATGAACACATTAAATTCTATGTATTTCCATTTCTATGTCTTTCCCAACTTGATGCATATTACTAACCAAGCATTAAACTATAGTCCTAAACCTGACTCTAATTACCATTTATTGGACAACCTGAACCTTTGCGATACCATGTTATAATATATTATTTTAAAAAAGAGCTTACCACTAATTAGTAAAATCAATTGTTTTTAGTATTAACTGAGCCGCATACTATCTGCTGCTATTGTCATCACCAGAAATCCAGTATGTTGGCAAAGATTAGTCTCTAAGTTCCCTGCAACCTCTTTCCTCTCGAGTGCGGAAAACACTGAAATCATTAATCATTATTTCATTATGCCTAATAGTTTAAAGGTACTATTAAAGTAGTACTAAATAGTACGAGTCTAAGTTACTATAGGTCTAATGATAATTATTATTGTGTATGCTTACATGCTTTAAGTTTTATGCACAATATTGGTATATAATATATAGTCTATAGTATATAGCCTAAGCTATAGAGTATATAGGCCTATGAGCCTAAATATAACAGCAGCTTGAATAATGCTTATTAGCATACATTCACTATAAACTATAAAGATAATCAAATATTTCAATTTAATTAAATTATAACTAATAGGCCTAATAGTAAATAGGCTTTTTTCTTGTGGCAACAAATTTAAAGTTTAGGGCAGTACAGTTATAGTATAGGCCTACTAGATTCTATATTTAAGTATGTGGGCTTTTCATTCCAATGCACCACAATAGATACCACACATGATCAAGCTGGACCTCTGATCTAAAGATTTAATAATTGGGCCTAACAAACAGTGAAACTACAATAAAAATCATGTAAATTACTAATTTAACCTTCTTACCTCCGCTTCTCTAGATTCCTATTCTATTTCCTTCAAACTTTCTTTTTATGCAGCCGTATGATTAGATTCTAGACTATATTCTAATAAACATGAAATAACTACTAACCAGAACACTAGATCTAAATTTCTATATTCTATGCAATATGTATTAAACCTATAGGCCTAATATTTATTTTAAATTCCTATGCGATGTGTCGTGAACTGTAGGTTTCATGTTATTTTTTTAATGGCGGAAATCAGTTTAAAATTTCGTTTCCTTCCTTTTGTTATTCTATTTATAGATTCAAACTGCTTAGAGACGGAGCAATTATCATTGAGTTAGTCGGCTGATCCAAACAGGAAGTGCGGGTATATCTATTACTTACTCAGTGATCAGATCATTGACAAAAACAGAGATAGCCATTCGCATGGGGTGGAGAGAGAGAGAGAGAGAGAGAGAGAGAGAGAGAGAGAGAGAGAGAGAGAGAGAGAGAGAGAGAGAGAAGAACATAAAAGAGAAAAAAAGAAAGAGACGAATAGAAGATTTGGGGGATGGGGTGGTGGAAGCTAAGCTATACACGAACCCCCCCCCCCCCCTCCCCACTTCCTCCAACAACACTCACTGCTCACGATGTACGTACTTATATCGGCATCAATCGTTATGCGCGCACCGGCCGACTGCGCGTGACTCGAGTACTCACCAAGGCCCTTCCCGTCACCCTTGACTGGCGGCCTTCCCGCTCACTCATACAACCGGATCCAGCCCGTTCTGCTTGGCTGAACAAAGCACGCGAAATGAGTAAAGTATGTACATGTGTGTGTGAGCTCAATTGCACGTGCCGGTTGGCGTGCGTTGCCGTGTTTAGGAGTGAGTAATTCTTAAGTAACGCGCGAACACCGGGCTTTTCCGGTTTGAATGAAATGTAAACACAGGCGCTGAATTAGTGCAATATTTAGGCTGCTGTCGTTGTTGTGGTCTGTGCTGCAGTTAATGCTGACGTCGTTGCTGTAGTCTGTGCTGTAGTCAATGCTACCGTCGTTGTTGTAGTCAGTGTTGCATTAAATGCTGACGTTGTTGTTGTTGTAGTCTGTGCTGTAGTCAATGCTGCCGTCGTTGCTGTAGTCAGTGCTGTAGTCAATGCTGCCGTCGTTGTTGTTGTAGTCTGTGCTATAGTAAATGAAACCGTCGTTGTTGTAGTCAGTGTTGCATTAAATGCTGACGTTGTTGTTGTTGTAGTCTGTGCTGCAGTAAATGCTACCTTTGGTGCTGTAGTCTGTACTGCAGTTTACTGATGCCGTTGTTGTTGTAGCCTGTGTTGCAGTAAATGCTGCCGTCGGTGCAAAGTCTAAAAATTAAGGAGGGCCAAAACATCCATATAAAAATACGAAACTACTAATTGATATAGAAAAGAAGCGTTAAGTCAATAAAAATATTATCGGGAAATAGATTTTAATACCTAATTAGACGATTGAAGTACTAATACTAAGTATCGGTCTTTGAAAAAATAATAGAGTTTTTAATTCCGTAACTTTTTGATTAAATTATACCATCCTCTCCAGCCTGTCGAGGCATCCCCTCTTGCTCACTCTAAACACCACAGCAAAGTAAATTCCGGACCTGACGGTAATTAGGGCAGAGGAAGTAGAGTTCACCTGATTCGGTGAGCTCGTCATATGAATCGATAGTTTTGTCGTTTCTTTGATGAAGCGCCTTTGTTTTCCTTAACGTGAGACAGGTACCCAATAGAGCTGGGACGTAGTACGGTCTCAAAAAATCGGGATCCAGACTCAAGACTTTCGGGTTAGTTGTCGTCCACTCTACCGTCCCACCATGCCGTTCTATAAACACCAGTATATACAAGACACGATTTCAAACAATTTTACCTGTATTAATTTTTTTTTTAACCCACTTTTAGGCCAGTTCTGTTCAGGTCCTTGTTTTGAATTATTGTAGTAAAAAAAAATTAAACAGCAATACATGGTATTTATCAGAGAATAAAAAAAAAATATTGCATTAAAAATTGATTTTCACTAGCTTTTATTCTTTGACGGCTTCCGTAACATTTCCGGTTATGTTTTAGTAAAAAAGGCGAGCACACGAAAAAAGGGGAGAGAAATCCGGTTAGTGGTTGGTAAAAAAAAAAGAGGAATAACTCTTGTCATGCGTAATTAATGCTTCACTTTTTTCTTCTTCATCTCGAACGAGCCACTTCCGGCAGAATTAATACGGTCGTTAGTGGAAAGGATTGATGTTAAGAAAGACAAAAGTACCAATTATCGTGTTTGTTCAAGTTTTATGTGGGTCTCCTTGTGGTGTAAATGAATCAAGTTTTCCCCCACCATCAATAATTTAAATCGATCTCGTTGATTAGATTTTTTGATCATGTATAATTTTTTTTTAAAACGAACGGCGTGGCCGAGTGGTAGAGCGCTATAGTGATAACCCGAAAATCTCGTGTTCGGATCCCGAGTTCGAGTCTATAAATATCCCTGAGTCAACTCAGCTATAATGGGTAACTTACTAACGTTAGGGAAACAAAAGCGGTTGGGACTAGTGTTGACCACACTTGTATCAACTTGTATGTCGATGTAACTGAAATATATGAACTCTACTTCATCTGCCCCATGTGTTATGGGCATTAAAATGAAAACATGATGATGAATCTTTTAAAAATTATTTAAATCTGAGTTTAAAATAGGTTTAAATCGACACCAGGCGAAATTCGATAAGGTGATGAAATTATTTGAGCTAAAATTGACTAGTAACATGAAATTATATGAGCTAAAATTGATTAGTAACATGTTACATTTAGTCACGACTAACTAGTAGACTTGCTTGTAAATTATTCTTGGCACAGGCCAATAGATTAGTCATTGTACATGAATTTCGAATGATGAATAATTGTCAGGACGCATTCATTTTTAATGAGTCATTGGCGTATTACACTATTGTTTCGTAATGAGTTAGAACCTTCATAAATTATTTCTGGTTAATGAGTTAGAGTTGTCACAAATCAACATTGGAATGTGAATATAAAAACCGTTAGTTTTTGGGTCAGGGCCAGACACTGGTAAAAGTATATATTTTCTATATAAATTCTATTTCGTTCGGGGGAGGGGCAGTAGACATTTATCGAGGGGGGGGGGGTGGCGACTCCACCCCCAAAATAGATGCCTGGAAGAAACTCTGAACACCACATACATTAGTGGTGCCCCAAAGACCCCCAAGGGTTAAGGAATTTATTTATTTTTATTTATACAATAAAAAAATTACAACTTCAATACCATCCTACTAAGAAATAAACTTTATTTACCTACACCCCACTGAAAATTGAAAAAAAGTCGTTTAGAATGTTTGAAAATGTAGTTCCATTGGAAAGATAAAAATGTTATTATCGGGAGTTCCGCTGATCTAAAAATAGAGTCTGAAGTACATGGATAGCTTACCTTGACTCTAGTTTTTCTCAATCGATCAAAGAGTCGGCTAATAACCACTTAGCTACAATAGATTTGTTTTTATAGAGATGGCGGCAGGGAAGTTTGTCTGCGGGGGGGGGGGGGGGGTTAGCTTGTGGTTGGAGGGGTTTGCAGATAACAGAAATATACATAATGTCTTGAAGAATTATGTGGGAAAGCGAAAATAATACGGATATACAAAAGCGTAATGCGAGGCAAGGTAGGGGTGTTGGTGGTGGGGGGGGGGGGGGGGGTGAGGGAGGAAGCTACAGAGATGACCAGAGGTTAACAGAAAATAGGTGTGAGGTGTGGGTGTCTGTAGACTTCGACAGTTGAGATTAACAATGAAGGGGAACCGGAGGAAATCTATAATCTTCAATATTGCAGAATATAAGGAGGGGAATGGGGGTTGGGGAAACGGTGATAACTGGAATCTAACAGGGAAAAAGGTGGGGTTGTGGGACTAAGAAATCTATAAATAGAAAACACAGCGGACATTAAAGGCCGACATGAGGAAGTCAGTCGAGATAACCCGGATGTACAGACACAATTTTTAATATCAGATGAGAATTTATTGATTTTTTAAATAGACCAATAGTTTTTATAAGAATCCCGGCAAGGTAAAGTAGAAATGTATTTAGTTTCTTCTGCGTGTGTTTATCTTTTAGTATTAGAATTACGGTTGGAGTTGTGATTAAGGGTAGGGTCAAGGCTATTCGTTTTTAGGAATATTGTAATTGCAATCTCATCTTTAGTACGCCGCAGACGCATTGTTTTTTTTTCTAAACACTAAGAATGTGATGTCATTGAGTCAACCCAGCTTTAACGGGTACCTAACTCACGTTACGGAAAACAAGAAGGCTGACCACACTATCCCTTTATATGCCGAGATCTCTGAGATAAACTCTACTTCATCTGCCGCATGTGTCTTTTTTTGGCAAGAACGGGAAAAGATGATGATGAAGTATACGAAACTTATTTTTCTTCTGCTTGAGTTCTTAATGTGTCTACCTTGTAAGTTCAAACAACTAGACCAACATCGCAAACTGTAGAGTGGCACCACCTGAGCCAGCATCCAATACAATTTTTTTCTGATTGGGGTGTTTTAGGGGCCAATTTCTGATTGTAGGAAAAAAAGTCACAGGAAAAAAAAAACACAGGAAAAAAGTCACAGGAAAAAAAGTCACAGGAAAAAAAGTCACAGGAAAAAAGGTCACAAATATATATTTGCATGATATTTGTTAACACTTTTATGTATTAAATATTTAGAGAGTGCAAATTAACTTAGGATTAATTAAATGTAATGTAATGTGTGTGTAGGCTGTATACGCATAGGAATTTTTATAATTCATTTAAAAATATTTATTATGAAGTATGTAGATTGTAATTATTTTAAACTTAAGATTAGTAGCATTTAATAGAATGCTCCAAAGTCCACGTTTTTCATCGTGTTTTTTTTTAAAATACCAATATTAAATGACCGTGAAATGGTAAGTTCATCTGACTTGCTGCCCTCAACTCATGGCAACAATAGTTATGTTTAGTTCAACCACCTTTACTTCCCACATTTATCACGCTCATTACATAACAAAACTTAGGTTCCAAACAGAAAGCCGACAAGGTTCAAAGGCTGTCGATGACGCATAACGTCAACAAAACACAATATGTTCGGACAATGCCTACTGAGGAGAGGCCGACCAGAGAATAGCCTACGGCAAAATGTGCCTAAATTTCTTTTATAATTAACTTTTCTACCGCGTATTTAACTAAATACGTAACAAATGTTGAGATTGCTGTGTTAATTATCTTAGAGTATTTTTTACTTACAATTGTTATAAATCATAATGCTTTTAACGTCTATAAATAATTTATGCCATAAAAAAATACAACCCACAACAATAAACATACACA